AGAAATTGTTGGTAAAATAGGGATAGTCGATGTGCTCCCCTGTCGTTGGGTGTATCCCAAAGTAGTCCTTTTTGAGCAGTGTGTCGGTGGATGGGTCCCATACACCATGCTGAGCCCAGATGCACTCACCCAGCTTCCACCCCGGGTCTCTCTTGTAGCCATAGCGGGATTCATCATAGTCGACAGGCAGCCACGCGACCTCGCCATGAGGATCCACCAGCGTCCGTCCCACTTTGTAAGGCCCAATCTGGCCCATGTCCCACGTCTCAACTTCGACAGCCCGCCCAGACCCAGTAAGCATTGTCTGCCATATCGTTGGGCACGTGCCCTTCTTCAAATTCTGCTCTTTTGGGATCACGCTGATGTCCTCGTAGCCGATCATGCCCTTGTTTGGCTCGTTTAAACTTTCCCACCCAAAGACAACATCATTCTCAACGTCGCCAGCCTCATGTATCCTCTTTGCCAGGTGTTCACAGGCACGGATAAAGTGCCCTTGGAGGTAGTCCTGAATGTTGACCCCATCGATGATGCATTTGGGCGCAAATGTCTTGCCGGCGAAGAAAAAGGTGAACATGGTGGCCGCGGCGAGGCGGTAGTAGTTGGTCGACCAAATCATCTTGGGGAACTTTTCGGGTTCTGGGTAGACATTGTGTACGATGGCGGCTTCGGTCGCGGCGAAGCTCTGTGGGTTGAGACCAGCTGCGTACAGCGTCCACATCGGTGCTCCAGATCCTCCAGAAAATCGCGACCACTAACAGGCACGGATAAGATTAGATGCGGCCTCATGGTCACCAGAAATAAGAAAAAGGTACGCACCACATCCTGATGAGGATCCATAAAGATGTAAAAGCCATAGTCCTTTGCGGCGCGCAAGACGGCTATCGTGTTGTCAATCCACTCCTCGTCATAGATACCCGGCCCAGCCGCTTCGATGGCCTCCCAGGTAAAGACATAGCGGATGGTGTTGTAGCCGCAACGTTTTAGCCTCGAGAAATGCAGATGTGCCTCCTCTTTTGGAAATGGTCTCCCCGTGAACCTGACATTGTCGCCATCAAAGAAGTTCTCTGCAATGTGGGAAGGCTGGTCAGGCACGCTGGGGTACTTGGCATCACCGGCGACATTGATGCCTCGGAGCGTTATCTGGCGGCCATGGACGTCTCGAAACTTGCCGTTTTCGATGATCAATCGAAAGCTGGCCATTATTATCCTCTGGGTGTCTCGGTCCTTGAATCTCGAGGGCTGACAGTGCACGGCGTCGAATGCAGGGGAGTTCTTTGCAGAGTTGTCGGGTGCTGCTGGTTGTTCGTCAAGTGAGCGCTGCCCCTTGTTCCCAATGCCCAGGCGCAGGTGAATGACGTGGGGCGAGACAAGGGTGACCAGGCGAGCCGGACACTTGGGCCGGCCATGGCTTGCAACACGCAAGTGGCAACTGATGAGAGAGATGATTGGGAAAGTGGGAGAGGGTGAGACCAAACTGCAGCTCTTATTCGGATCGTTGAGAAAAGAAGGGAACTATGCTTATCCAGGACCCCTTGGGCCTTGATTCAGTCTTGTCAGACAGAACTCTTGCGTCTGCGTGTGTGATGCAGTCCCGAAGCTGCCGTGATGTGGTTAAGGAAGGGTTAGGGTTGTGTGCGGCTCGTCCCCTGTGCTGAGACGACAGGTGGGCCACTTTACGCGCAACGCGCTCTCAGATTCGCTCGACGCGTCTTTGGCCAAATTCATGTCGCCAGGGTCCCCCACAGACAACAACCCACCACCGCCGAGCCTCTCTCTGCCAATGACCAGAGACTCTCGTTTTGAACCTGCCAAAGAACAGACAGCTTCCTAGCGTCACAAAATCACACAATGCCCCATTCGTCGTCGACCCCTGAGCAGCAAGAAGCACCAGCCCGAACACAACTCACCCCCACAATGGAGGACACCACCCTCAATCTAGGCAACGGCGGCCTTACAGACGAGGACCTCCTCATGGCCGACGTCGACGAGGTTGAATCTCCACCAGTAGTCACCCCAGCCGCCGTCGAACCGCCATCCAGCGCCCCGGCAGCCAAGCCAGAATCAACCGAAGAGGACGCCCCAGTCGAAATTAAGCAAGAGACCAAAGCCGAAATCAGGCTCGAGGACTTGTTCGAGGGAATGGATTCAGGTTCAGACGACGAATTCTCGGGCAGCAAAACCGACAGAGATGTAGCCACCGGCCAAGTGCCGCCATCATCACCCGGGCCCGTAGCACCCGCCGGCTCCAACCCCGACCTCCTCCGCGTCTTCTACCAGCTCCTTTTTCCCTGGCGCTACTACTTTCAATGGCTCAACCACTCCCCCCAGCCCACCCCCGACTTCAAGTTCCGCGAATTCTCCCTCTGGCTTACGGGGGGCGTCGTCTTCCGGTTTCAGTCCTACGCCACCTTGGACCTCCTCCGCAAGGACGTCTTCAAGCACCTCCCCGAGCGTATCGAAATCGGGCCCATCTACACCGCCAACCCCCGCGACCGCAAGACTTTTCGGAATTCCTCTGCCTTCCGCCCCATCGCAAAGGAGCTGTGCTTCGATATCGATTTGACGGACTACGACGATGTACGTACGTGCTGCGACAAGGCGAACATTTGTATCAAATGCTGGCAGTTTATCACCATGGCGATCAAGGTGCTGGATGTGGCGCTGAGGGAGGATTTTGGATATGAGCACATCATGTGGGTCTACTCGGGCAGGAGAGGTGCGCACGCTTGGGTGTGTGACAGGCAGGCGAGGAATTTGGATGATCACAAACGCAAGGCGTTGGGGAACTACTTTTCGGTTGTGAAAGGGGGAGAGAAGACGGGGAAGAGGGTTAATGTTCGACGGCCGTTACATCCTCATCTCGCGAGGAGTTTGGATATTCTCAAGGAGCACTTCTTGACGGATGTTCTTGAGGCGCAGGACCCCTGGAGAGAAGAGGACAGGGCGGAAAAGCTCCTGCAGCTCCTCCCTGATATCAAACTGCGACAAGCTTTAAAGGAGAAGTGGGAATTCAACCCCGGCCGCTCTTCCACGGCGAAATGGGGAGATATTGACTCTGTTGCCAAGTCTATAGGAAGCGTCAACACCAAGGACTTGCTGGAAGCCAAGCAGGATGTTGTGCTGGAGTACACCTACCCACGACTGGACATTTTGGTCACGGAGCAAAAGACTCATTTGCTGAAGAGTCCGTTTGTGGTGCACCCGGGGACGGGGAGGGTTTGCGTGCCGATTGACACGAATGATTTGGAGGGGTTTGACCCGTTGGATGTGCCGACTATTGGGGGGTTGGTGAATGAGATTGATGCTGATACGAGTGGCGGGGGAGGGATGAAGAAGGAGGGGGATGGGGATGAAGACAAAAAGGGGGCGGAGTGGGAGAGGACGAGTATCAAGCCTTATATTGATCAGTTTAGGGGGTTTGTGCATGGGCTTCTGAGGGAGGAGAGGGAGTTTGTGAGGGTGAAGAGGGAGAGGGAGGAGGAGGGGGGTGGGCTGGATTTCTAGGGGGCTTTTTTTTTTTGGGTTGAGGGGGGGGAGGTTTGTGTCTATACTGTAGGATCAATGCTTGCTAGTTGGATGGGCATCGGTGGAGCAATGAATATGATACTTGTTGGAGATTATATGACTGTATTTGCCCTGTTTTCTGCCCTTTTTCCCTCGTGAATGAATATATATTTATAATGCCTCTTTGGCCGGTTTAAACCGCACAAAAGCTTTTGTCTAGCTCTGTGACGAAACGTTCCGTGTTCGATTCCTGTTCCAATTCTGTAACATGAACAAGAGCTGAGAAAGGTATCTTGAGTGTGCTGTGGAATATACCCCTTCTAAAAGGAATATCATTCAAAGTCGTAACAAGGTCTAAAGACTGAAGGTCTCGGTTTGAGTCCGAGGTTAAAGAGGGGGGTGCAAAATTTTTGGGTCTTTTGCGAAATGTATTTTGAAGGATTCAGAACAGGGAGGGAGAAGAACTGTGGTGAGCAAGTCTTTGTAAGCTGTTCTCTGCCGTCTATTGATCGGGCAGCAGTTCCAGACTCAACTAAGTTGTATATTCTAGTCAATTGACATATTGTGATTGTGTCTTTCACATAGTTCTCATGCGCAGCAGTTAAAAACTACCTGCCCTGCTTTACTTCCAACAAATAAACCTTCCCTGAAAATCACAGCTAGTGTAATTTAGCACAGCAGCCCTTTTTGTGAGCTCAAAGAAAACTATTGAAGTTCCGTCTAGCGGTTTGGACGGAACGTTCCCTGTTCGATTCCAGTGACTTTCCAAGTTCTCTTGGTTGAGAGTGCGGGTCGATTATACCTAGGTGATCCTTACACTCCAAGGCAGCTTGGAGGGATTGTGGGATATTATTTTCATGAGAATAATTAATTGAATTGCACCCGATAACACATGAGTGGATTAAAGGGCTGAAGGTCTTGAAGTCCAAGGTTGGTTGGAGGAGCTTCCTTTTTTGTCGACGGGAGATGGTATCTCTCTACAGGTTGGTAGCTATAATGTGAGGCTCCTTGTGAGGAGCTTGGGGATGGGGAGGGCGCGGGTGTTTTTTGCTGCCTTTTTTCAAGAGTTTGTGTAAAGTTTGTGCAGGCTGTTATTTATGTGGGCGAGAAGCGACAGGTTTTGTGCGTCTCATTACTTTGGATGGTGTAAGCATAACGAGAAGAAGCCCCGGTGCCCTGTCCAGTCGAGATGTATGTCTTTAATGATGACTGTGAAGGGCTATTTGGCAAGGCCCTTGATTCGTGTCGGGACAGTTGGCTGTCTTACAAGAGGTTTGGCTCAAGAAATGAGAGCCTTTAGCCGTCTGTGGTCTATAGGACTGAGGTTCTGTCTAATCGCCTGCTCCGATGAGTTGCCGAAGCCAGCTGCCAACTCTTTGCCCAAGTCAGATTTTCTTGTGCCATGTGCTCTCCTCAGGCCTTTGAGACAGTTGGACATGTCTAGGTTTTTGACGATATAACCCTGCATCTCGAGAGACAACTCCAACAAACTCGATGCTCGACTGGTGTAAGTTGACATAGCGGTCAAACACGTCGTGTTCCTTGAAAAAGTTACCACAGAATTCGACAAGGTTCAGGGGGCAAAACGATCAAAAGTAAAAAGTCAGACAGGGGCACGAGGTCTCGGTTCGAATCCGAGGTCGAGCGCTGGGTTTCATTTCTCATCTACACATTCTCAGATTATCATAGTCCCCCCACATGGTGTTGTTCCTCTCAAGCCATATCAATCAATCACCAGCCACACAGTTAGTGATATCCCACACCACCCCGTTACAAGAATAAGCCATCCGCGCCCAACAGGGATATCCCGGACTTTTCGGGTTCGCTCCACAGTCCGACAAAAGGACCCGAGCCCCGAGGGTGCGCCCGCCCCGGAAGCAGCAGAAAAGTCCACTGTCCAACAGATGTCAAAAAGGGTTCGTAAGCTTGGCGGCGCTAAGCACCGGCAGGCTCGGAGATGACCTCCCCCCATCAGCTTTGTTGGTGGGTTAGGGCAATGTCATGAGGCTCACTGAGATCCTAATGACAGCTCATACCGATTTATAAAAGAGAGGGGCTATAAAAGCTGACGGAGCTTGTTACAAATCATGATATTGAATCACTGGCTGCTGTGGAGTTGACAGGAAATACCGATGATGGTGTGAAGTACAAGGCGGTAGACAGAAGGCCTCGGCAGGGTTCATCGGCGGCTACCCTACAAGGCGAGAGCCGTTGATCAAGTGTCAAGGTGCTTCCCGGTTCCCGGCGACGGAATTAAGAAAATGCTTGTTCGCTTCATGCCAAACCACCTGTTTTTCGGATGCTTCCTGGATTGAGCTTGAATGGCCGTGGATGCATCGTGGCATAGTAGAAAAGAAAATATTTTTCTTCAGTGGTTCGAGGGGCGATGTCCACATCCACAGGGCCGGAATAGGCCGAGCTTCCACTACAGGTGAAAGAACTCATGTGGGCAGGTATCCGCAGCGATGGTTTGATGTGTCTGGGCTCGAGTTATGATGGGTGCCGATGCTGATACTGTAGTGTTGGAAAAAGGGGTGTGAACTGAGCTGTCGGAAGATTACAAATGGGAGAATGATATGTCCGAAGACCGATGGGAAGAAAAGTGAGGCTTGGGAAAATACACGCATCCTATAGGTGAGTTCTATTATACGCGTAAAGTGGCAGACGGGAGATAGGCCGCGTGCTCCTGGAGCGAACATTTTCCCAGGTGGTTAGAAGACCTCGAATTCGGGTTCAAAAGTGGATGTCTTTTCCGAACGCTATTAGGAATCGAGTCCCGCCAGATTCATGCAGCAAAAGGGCATTGGCTACCTCCCATTTGCCTTTCATCACAAATGGTCCTAACAAACGAGATTGAATCTCAAGTGAAGACGCGGCGGCAGATGAGAGAGCTTGTTGGTGCGTTTGATGTTGGTGCCGGCTGCCGAGTCCGCGTATGGATAGGGCGCTGTGTGCGACGTTTGCGAGAGTTTCACTGATCCACGGCTGGGCTTGCCAGTCGATGAATCGAACGAGCAAACCAACAGGATCGGCGCTATAAAACAGTGACAACTCCATCCTGCCACCAGCAGGACGCCCCGCCGTTTGAACCTTTTCAGTTGGGGGAATCAGAGGCGGGCGGAGAGGCACAGCCTGATGGTGTTGGATTGCAGCCATCATATTTATCAGCTGCTGAAAGACGTTGGACATTTGTATCTGTAGAAGAAAAGACTGATGCCGAGATGCCGAGCCCGGCGGCACAAGCCCGAATGCGAAGAATGCGGATGGATTTTACAAACGGATAAGACGGCCACAGCGCATCGGTTTCTGGGTGAAACCCCACATGCGGGAAGCAAGCCACATATTGCCGATGCTCTCAAGCCTCCTCTTTGACGCACGTCCGCGGTTAGGAAGTGGTATCGCTGACCAATTGTGCCTCTTTTTTCCATCTTCCAAGACACTCCAAGGACCGACAAGTGCTTGGGCTTTTGGGCAGGGTAATCTCAGATGTGTCAATCCTGTCTGGAAGCTCAGGTGTCTTACCCCTCAGGCTCTTTGAGAGTCTGTGAGAGTGTTCCCTCGTGGGCTTCGAGGCTTGTGTCGCTGTCACCTCCAACGGTTTCTGAGCCACAAGTTCTGGAAGTCGAAGGGATCGAGCGAATGGATGACGGCATGAGTTGCCAAAAAGTATGCGACTAGCCCGATGCTCACTGCTGCAGGGGCACTTTTGCTGTCGCCGATATGCAGCAAGCGAAAAGAACCTGTAAAACCCCACTGCGGCATTCAACTGGCCCTGTCGCTCATGATGACCAGGCGGCTCCCGGCGAAAATCATACGGGGTGTTACTTCGGTCCGCCGCATCCCAAGGTTTTGCATCTTGAGTCGAGAGGGCTGGCCTTCCTTGCTGTACTCGGTGAGCGTCCAAGTGTCTGATAGATGAGAAGAGAGGAAGAAGCAGAGGAGGATAGGCGAAAGGAATGAGGAGAGGCAGTCTTCTCCACTCTTGGCCATCCAGCCAAGTGCTTGGGAATACTTTTTTTAGTGCCTCGTTTGCTGGATTGCTCGCGTGTCCCGTTACCTTAGTACCTTGGTGTGTGTACTTTGTACCGCCTAGCTTTGCATGCATTTCCAAGTGCCCACCCGTCCTTGTTAAAACAAGGGCCACCGCCGTCATACTTTACCAAGGGAGGCCCGCACCGTCTTATTCTATCCCCCCGTAGTCACAACCCGTCACACACTTAACCTCACTTCCTTTCCCGTCTCTTCACGATTGCTCACTTCTCGGTGTTGATCCTTTCCAGTAACACGCCGCCTTACCACAGAAAAAAACGTGCTGGTGTGGGGTTCGAGCTGCTTTCCCTCGTGGCTTGCCTTTTTCCCTTTTTTTCTTTGGAACGGTTTTTTGTTCAACGAACGGGACGACCAACACCAGGACCACATCCAGTAATTCCTAGAAATTAATAATCGACATCAACAAAGAAAGAAAAGGGTCACCCCTTTGACGACGTCAACAACGAGCAACCAAAGTACTGGCTCAGGGTAAAAAAAAAGAAAAAGAAGAAAAAGAAAAAAAGAGTTAAAGAAAGCACGAAAAATATGCAAATGCAGCAACGATAGCCGAAACACCCACCGAAACACCTCTTCCTCTCCTCCTCCTTCATCCTTAGGAAGGGCCGTTTTCCTCTTCGCCGGGTGTTGTCTCACCTCAACTCATCTCACCTCAACTCCTCACCACCTCACCTACGTCCTCCCTTTCGGACGACCATTTTAACGATTCCGGCGCCATATCTTCAGTAATCGCATCCATTCAAAAACACAAAATAGCGACACAGCTATGCCAGACTTCTCCCCCGTCCTGCCGTTAACGGCCTCCTCAGCACCATCCTCCCCACCTCACCATCTCTCAACCAAAGCCACCTCCCCAAACCCATTACTCCCTCTTTACAACCTAGCCGCCAATCTCAAAAATCCCATCCCGGCCAAATTCAAAAAAGCGAAGCCATCCCTGCGGCTGCAACGGATCAAGTCCAAGGACGAGTCAACCGCCCACGACGTAACCAAGCTCCAGACCTCCTTCGCCATCCTCCCTTCCCTCAAGGAACTTCGCAACAGGAAATGGACTGTTTGGGATTTGCAGCACGCCGTCACTTTTGGGTGTCTGGCCTTTTGCCTGCTGATCACGCCATCCGCGCCCTTTTTGAAATCCGCAGCAATGGGGCTGCTGGCGGTGTTGCTGCTCATGCCAGCGACGAGGCAGTTTTTCTTGCCGAGCTTGCCGATTTGGGTGTATTTGTTTTATTTCTTTGCGAGCAGGTATGTTCCGCCGCCGTATCGGTGAGAGGGGGTAGTGCTGACAGCAAGCAGGTTTATCGCCCCTGAATATCGCCCTCACATCTGGGTCAAGGTCCTTCCCGCCTTGGAAAACGTGCTGTACGGTGCGAACCTGAGCAACATCTTGTCGTCGCACACGTATACGATTTTGGACATCATCGCTTGGATCCCCTACGGTCTTGGACACTTCGCCTTGCCGCTGGTGACGACGGTGATGCTGTTTTTGTTTGCCGCGCCCGGGACGACACCCGTTTGGGCGAGGGCGTTTGGGTACATGAGTATCCTGGGCGTGACGATTCAGATCTTGTTCCCCTGCACGCCGCCGTGGTATGAGGGGTTGCATGGGCTGGAGCCGGCGCATTACGGGATGGAGGGATCACCGGCGGGGTTGAAGAGGATTGATGAGCTGTTTGGGGTTGACATGTACACCACGAGCTTCACGACTGCTCCGGTACCTTTTGGAGCGTTTCCCAGCTTGCACGGGGGGGATGCGGTGCTGGAGGCGTTGTTTTTGCAGTACTGCTTTCCACGATTCAGGCCATTCTTCATCGGATATGTCATTTGGATTGCGTGGTCGACCATGTACTTGAACCACCATTACGCCATCGACCTTGTTGGAGGCGGGATTATCGCGGCGATTACCTATTACATTGCCAGGACAAAGTGGCTGCCGAGACCGCAGCTGGACAAGACGACGAGGTGGGAGTATGAGTATGTCGAGTTTGGGGACCGGCCAAGGGTGGCGCTCGATGAGGAGTATGGCGGTATGGGGCTTGGACTTCTCCAGCGGAGAGGAAGTGACGAGTGGACGCTGGGCAGCTCGAGCAGTTTTGACTCGATGAGCAGAGGGGACACCCTTTGCGGCAGCAGCTCTTCTTCGCCGAATATCCTCAGCCCGACGACGCCGAGCGATGATCACCACGGGGATCTGTGGAGTAAAGTGAGGACGACGAGCCCGAGGGGGCTGACGGGGGTTGCTGTCGGTAGCGAGGAGGAGCAGAGGGAGGTGTATGCGAGGTGATCTGCTGCTGAACAACGCAAACACTTTGTTGAGACGCGAGAGAACCTAATAAACTCCTCTTTCTTTTCTGTTCTTTTTCTGATCCTAAAGCAACTAGGGTGTTGTGTCTTTTTTTTTTTTTTCGGATCATTACTCGGTTTAATATTGCCGTTTTCTTTTTCCGGTCCGGTTTCATTCGCTATCATATCGGTATCATTGGCATTTTATTGCATTTTGGGGCAAAGGCATGGCATTGCGAAGCAAGGTTCTTGGTTATACCCCTACATCGTTCGCTCGCTATCATTATATATTAGAAGAAGGAGGGGGCCAGGTCGTG